ATATATATATATGAAAAATATATCAAAAATGCAAGTGGGTACTCAAATGAAAGCTCTTGATAAGTGTAACATCGGGATGAGCTTATATCTTTAAAAATTTTACTTATTTATCTTGCACAACTCACGGCAGTCACGTAGTGACTGCAAGGTTGCTAGTAATTTATTGCTCATTTATTTATATGCATATATATATATGTTCCTTAACTAAGAAATACTAGGAGGAGTTCAGACCCAAAACGAAGATGATGTATCACAGAAGATTTTTGAATCACATTTTATATTACACTTAAACGTTGTATGTAATAATGATATTAATAATTAAGAAATGAAATTTGAATTTGAATTGAATAAATAAAATTCTTAAAACTAAATAAATAAATAAAATAAATAATTATCAAATAACTTTATTTTACTATATAATACTTAATTTATCATATGCAGTCTTTTATTAATAAAATAAATTATTATAATTACTCATCTTTTATCTCTTATTAAAATAACCTGTCAATAAATAAATAAATAAATAAATAAATCACTCGTGTTTCAAATTACTACTCAGTTAGTGCTTACATAATAATAATAATAATAATAATAATAATAATAATAATAATAATAAATTAAATGTCTATTATAAAGGCAAGCCGGTAATACAATTAAAATATGACTGATCAGCCTTCAAGCTCTCCTCTTCCAGCCTTTTGAGACGTTGCTTAGCATCCTGGATAATATCATCAGTAGAACTGCTTTCACTAAGGACTGTTGTTAGTGTCTTCGAGAAGACTGGTCGCGTTACTTCAATCACAGGTTTTAAAAGCTGCGCTTCTTCAAGCTGCCGCGACAGACGTATTGCTCGAAGCGTGAGCTCTTCTATTCGCAATTGCTGTTCTTGAACGAGACTCTGAAGCTGTCTTTTCTCGTCGTCGCAATTGTTGATTATAATTTTTTCAGAATCTTTTATTTCTGTCTGTGTACTTACTTCGTGTGTACATATCTGTATTACTTTTTCTTCGTTTTTACTCGATAGTTCTTTTTGTACTTTAGCGAGTTCTTCTTGAAGCTTCTTTAAATTTGTTTCGAATATTTTGTAACTATCTTGTTCATTTTGAAGCCTACAATTTATAATTAATTTATAATAAAATTTAATTTTTTAAAATATGAGAAGTAGAATATTTTTACAATTAATTATTGAATTAAATTACAATAAAAAATACCTTTTGGCTTCATGAGCAAGTAAATTTTCTCTTGATATTAATTCTTGATTTTTAATAAAAATATATCTATCATTTTCTTCTTTTTCTTTTTTTAATTTTGACTCTCTTTCATTTATTTCTTGTAGCATATTCTGTAGAAAAATGAATAAAATCATTAATTAAATAAAAAAAAATTAAATTAGTAGAATCAGAAGGTAGAAATTACGATATATAAAAAGTTAAAAGGTAAGGTATCAGAAATTTACTTTTTTTTACTATTGTGAATAGATATTCTAATGATCTATATTATTAAGAAAATAAAAAGAATTTTGTCTCCACAATTTTTCATATATTTTATATATTATATATATATATGTATTTATGAAAATGCATGTGGGTACTCAAATGAAAGCTCTTGATAAGTGTATCATCAAGACGAGCTTATATCTTTAAAAATGTCAATAGTTAAGGAATGATGTTGTATCTTGTGAACTATTGACATTTTTAAAGATATAAGCTCATCCCGATGTTACACTCATCAAGACCTTTCATTTGAGTACCCACATCAATTTTTCATATATTTTATATATTATATATATATATATGTATATATGAAAAATATATCAAAAAATGCATGTGGGTACTCAAATGAAAGCTCTTGATGAGTGTAACATCAGGATGAGCTTACATCTTTAAAAATGTTAATATTTAAGAAATTACAGTACAATTTAACAAAAGTCATTATTTAATAAAGCAAAATTTTATTTATTTATAGTTCACAAGGCACGGCAGTCACATAGTGACTAATAGTCAAAACTGCAGACACTTGACAATTGTCTTATTTTTTTTTTTTTTTTGAAAAATAAACTAGGTTTAGAATATTATTTTTAAAAAATTGCATTTATAATTTTTTAAACCTTTTATAGATAAATTTTTTAAAATAAATTTTTCTTACTGTAACTTATTTGTTAAAAAAATTTTTTAAATAATTAGATGTCTCTCAATTTCAGTATCATAATTAATTAATTTATTAAAAATAAATTACCTGAGCAGTAACTAATTTATCATCCAACAAAATCATCTGTTCCCCAACAATATCAGCTCGTTTATTAATTTTATCTTCATACTCCTTCAACTTAGAATTATAAAATTCATTTTGCTCCACCAACTTTTTCCTAGCGTTAATAATTTTTCTCTTCTCCCGCAAAATATCCTCCGATATTTTAAAATCAGTTTGAGTTTGACAGTTTTTTAATTCAGTCTTAACACTTTCAGTATGACTAAATTTACCTCTATAAATAAACTTAAGTATTGTCAGCAATAATGGCATGTCATTATTGTCATAATCAGCGATAATAGACTGACCATCAGGTTCATCGGGCCTGATGCCCAGCGTTTCCAGAGCATGAGTAACATAATCATTTTGGAGTTTCTGTTTGTCATCCTCAGAGTCGGGCTTTACATGCTTGCGGAAATTAACCAGTAAAGGTGCTTCACTTGCAAACACAGACAATGTATACGCGTAATTGTGGTTCCACAGGTACTCTGCTATTAATAAATCATAAATATACTGCTTTGCTGATTTCGGGCCACTGTTCTCTTTGTTTAATGTCATATCTGTACTTTTTAAAGCGTTCACTAAATTATGACGTAAATGCGTCCGGACATCTGATATAATTCCACATCTTTCAAACCTGTAAGAATATTTTATAAATAAATATCTTTAAAAAAAAATAAATAAATAAATAAATTTATAAAAATAAATATTAATTACCAAGCGTAAATTGTAGAATAATAATCGCTGTTCATATTAATTTTATTATGATTTGGTTATTTATATGTTTATATATACTAATGTATTTACTAATTTGTTTTGTTCCGGCATATGCTACAAGCAGCTGTAACAGAGCGCTAAATTTTATTTAAACGCGAATTTCAGCGCCTCTAGCGGTAAAAAAAACGAGGTATTTTTAAAAAAATTTATAAATTTATTTAGTTTTTATTTAATAGCATTGAAGTTAGTAATCACTCAACTATTTCTTAATTTTATTTGACAAAAAAATTTGTTCTAAAATATTATTTTTAAAAGAATTGCATTTTCAATTTTTAAATGTCAATTTTTTATCTCAAAAATTTTATTACAAAAATTCGTAAAACTAGGAACCTTGCAGTCACTAACTACCGTGACTTGTGAATTATAAATAAATAAAATTTTGGTTTATTAAATAATGACTTTTGTTAAATTGCACTGTATTTTCTTAAATATTGACCTTTTTAAAGATATAAGCTCATCCTGATGTGTTACACTCATTTGAATACCCACCTGCATTTTTATAAATTTTTCATATATACATATATATATATATATATAAATATATGAAAAATTGATGTGGGTACTCTAATGAAAGATCTTAATGAGTGTAACATCGGGATGAGCTTATATCTTTAAAAATGTCATTAGTTGACAATATACAATGTCATTTCTTAACTATTGACATTTTTAAAGATATAAAGAGATCCTGATGTTACACACGCGAAGAGCTTTTGTTTGAGTACCCACATGCATTTTTGATATATTTTTCATATATACATATATATAATATATATAAATATATAAAATATATGAAAAATTGATGTGGGTACTCAAATGAAAGGTCTTGATGAGTGTAACATCGGGATGAGCTGATATCTTTAAAAATGTCAATAGTTCTCAAGAAACAAGATCATTTCTTAATTATGTATCGAGAGATAGGGCATTTTCGAATGCAGGTTAAATACATAATAAATTGACTTTCGGCGAGAATATGAATCCTTGAAAAGGCACAAATTCAAATCAAGACCTTTTCAATGACACTAAATTTCACTAAAAAAATCGATTTTGTCATATGATTATCCTAGACACAAAACTTTTTTTACTCTCTTCATAATATAGATTTTTATGAATTATAGTAAATAAAAAAAATTTAATTTGTAATTTTTTATTTTATTACAATACAATATATACAAGATTTTAATATAATCGTTCTATAAGCCGTTATATAAAACGATATTATTACATACGAAATTGGCAGCTTATTAAACGCAGGAATATTATTGTAAAAGGATTTACATCTGTAATTTTATCAATTATTCAGATAACAATCCTTTTCATACAATAGATTCATTTTGAATATAAAAAACGTGAAAACACACAATCGATTTATTTTCAATCGATAGACTTTTAACAACGATGTGATTTATTAACAACATGTACTTACTTATAATTTATAAGTAAAAAAAATTATTAGATGATTAAATGAGTAGATTGATGATCATTTTGTTTTAAATAAAAATCTTTGAACTCTATTTTTATTTATTGTAACTATAACTATTATCAGATTTTATTATTTAATTTGAATAATATGCCTCAATTTTTTGTAAAAAATTCATGCTTAATTTTAAGTTCTTTACTAAAGTTACCAATTTGTGCACGTGGCAATACCACTTTAATTATTTAAAAACAAATTACAAATAAATGCATTAATCGAACATCAATTTTCAAGTGGAATGATTAATATTAATTATTGAATTTAATTATCAATTTTTTTCTGTAAGAAAATTTTCAAATAAATTATTGCAAAGTTTAAATTAAAAAACTCAAATTTATTTTTAAACAACACAAAAATTTAATTTAATTTAAATTAAGAGTTTAAAAATTTTTTTTTTTTGTTTCAAAAAAATGAAGAAATTAATTCAATAATTATTTTTAATGCAGCTAAAAAAATTAAATTCAGTAATAAAAAAATACCCGCAGCTACAAAATTAAATTTGAAGATACAAAAAAAAAAAATGTAAAATTGTCGACGTACTTTACTGCCTATGAATCGATTGGTTGAAATTTTATCTGAATAAACTATAATAGCTGTATACAAGTACGAGCCGTTCGTCGACCAGCAGCGAAAGAGGCTCCATGGCATTCATTACAGAAACTATTCCAAGATCATGTCTTTTAATTTAACCGAGCGTCTCTCCTGCGAATTCGTATTCTTTCAAAGGCTGATCTAGATCTTTACATTCATTTTAATTTCAATTTCAATATCATTAATGTTATTTTTATGACTTATAATAACTTAAAGTTATTCATTGAATTAGACCAACTGTGCATTGCACAGTTGTCGGTGACTTTTTGCTACGTAGGTCCTGCAAATAGAGCAGTCAAACCTGTATCAGCAGAGTTTTTTGATATTTCATCAACCCGTTGGACTTGTGGCTTTGGAGTGACTTCAACTTTGGGTAGGTTGTCTATTTTTACTTCTTTGCGAAATAATTGTCCGATACTTCTTCCGATTAACTGTAATTAAATAATAAAAATTAATTATTGATCAAGTATAAATTTTATTTTTTGGTAGATTTATTTATTAAATTAATTGTCAAATTTATACAATTATTTTTAATTTACGCTATAATTCGTTGACTTTTCGAATTTTTTTTAGTGCTTTTGAAAATTTGAAAAATTTGTACGACATAAAAAACAACATTTTAAGTATTTTTAAATTAATATGGCTTTTTATCTTTACTAGCAATCTTGCAGTCACTATGTGACTGCCATGACTTGTGAACTATTAATAAATAAAATTTTGATTTATTAAATAATGACTTTTGTTAAATTGCACTGTATTTTCTTAAATATTCACATTTTTTAAGATATAAGCTCATCCTGATGTTACACTTATCAAGAGCGTTGATTCGAGTACCTACATGCATTTTTGATATATTTTTCATACATACATATACATGATATATATAAATATATGAAATATCTGAAAAATTCATGTAGGTACTCAAATGAAAGGTCTTGATGAGTATAATGACAGGATAAGCTTATATCTTCAAAAATGTCATTAGTTTAGAAGATACAATGTAATCTCTTAATTATTGACATTTTCAAAGATATAAGCTCATCCTGATGTTACACTCATCGAGACCTTTTATTTGAATACTCACATCAATTTTTCATATATTTACATATATTATATATTTATATATATAAATATATGAAAAATATATCAAAATGCATGTGGGTACTCAAATGAAAGCTTTTGATGAGTGTAACATCAGGATGAGCTTATATTTTTAAAAATATCAATACTTAAGAAATTACATTGTATCTTCTAAATAATGATATTTCTAACAATGTAAGCTCATCTAGATGTTACACTCATCGAGAGCTTTATAAATATATGAAAAATATATCAAAATGCATGTGGGTACTCAAATGAAAGCTTTTGATGAGTGTAACATCAGGATGAGCTTATATTTTTAAAAATATCAATACTTAAGAAATTACATTGTATCTTCTAAATAATGATATTTCTAACAATGTAAGCTCATCTAGATGTTACACTCATCGAGAGCTTTCATTTGAGTACCCACATGCATTTTGATATATTTTTCATGTATATATATATAAATATATGAAAAATTGATGTGGGTACTCAAATGAAAGATCTTGATGAGTGTAAAATCAAGTTGAGCTTATATCTTTAAAAATGTCAATAGTTTACAAGATACAAGGTAATTTCTTAATTATGTATCTAGAAATAGAGAGTTTTTGAATGCAGCCTAAATACTTATTTTTTATTCGTTAAATAAATCTACGTGTCTAAGTCGCACTTTTTTATTAATAAAAAAATAGCTTACCTGATTAGTAAGTTTCTTGAATAATTCTTTCTTGCCCTTATCTATTTTATTTCCTTTAGTACTGATAACAGCCATTTTTTCATCAAAACGTTGGAGGTCAGCTGGACTAACACCCGGAATTTGCTGCATCACTTCAATGATATTAGGAAATTTGGGCCTAAGAATTTCATAAGTCTGAGCCCCGAGGATTATCAGTGATCCTTGGTTTGCTTCATGCTGGCCATGGAGCTGGAGTCCTTGGAGCACTGCTACCATGATGTGGGATGCCATCGCAGGAGTCAAGCTACCATTAGCTGCTAGAGCGCGAACTATTGGGCCTGTCAGCATAGTTGCTTTCAAACTGGCGTTTGAATCATTCCAAGCCAAAGCTCTGAAAAGAAAAAAAAAAGAAATTTATAAGTCAAATTTGTCGATAAATTTTTTTAATTTCAATCATTAAATAATTATAACTAATAAAAAAATTTCAATTTACCCGAGCACACATAGAACAATGCTGTGACAAGTTGCAGGAATCCGTAACACAAAAGCGCCAAGTTCACTAACAACTTCCGCAATAACACTGTTTCCTCTTACTGGAGTCTGGTCAACGGCCATGCTCGACGTGTCTTGGTCCATTGAGTCTGGAGGTGCTGCGTCGCTCGCTGTTCCACCGATCAGAGTTACTTTTAGTACGTCAATAAAATCACGAGTTAAGTTTCTGTTCAACATGTCGTTTATTACTTCTTGCTCGTTGGTGTTATCTTCATCCAAGCCTCCTGATTCGTACAAGGCTGTGATGTATTGCCATTTAGCGCTTAGTCTATGATACACTGTAATTATAATTATTAATTATTAATAATGGTTACATAAATTTAATTTAAAAAATTATTCAATAATAATAATAATAATAATAATAATAACTAGCAACCTTGCAGTCACTACGTGACTGCCGTGACTTGTGAACTATAAAAAATTAAAATTTTGGTTTATTAAATAATGACTTTTGTCAAATTGCACTGTACTGTCTTAAATACTGACATTTTTAAAGATATAAGATCATCCCGATGTTAAACTCATCAAGAGCTTTCATTTGAGTACCCACATGCATTTTTGATATATTTTTCATATATACATATATATAATATATATAA